CGAGGCGCGCGACAGAGGACGGGTGCGTCCTCTCTTACATGCAGCCTCTCTCGGGGTCTCTGTCCCCCCCAGCTGCAGGGCTCCCGGGAGGCCCGTGGGAACCCAGCCCTGCTGCTGTCAGAGCGTGTGGCCCTGAATGCTCGTTCTGGCTGCTGCTGCCGCCGCCTGGGACTTGCCGGAGCCCCGGCCTGTGCTTCAGGCCTGGCTCTTCAGGTCCCGCAGCAGCCAGTGGGAGGAGGCTGTTCCCAGGAATCGGGAGCTGGGTCAGCAGCGTCGAGTCTTTTCTGTCCAGCCACACAGCAACCCTCAAGGTCATTTTCCTAAATGTCGCTCCTGGTCTAAGCTCAGATGTCATCTCTGAGAAACTGGCCCTGGCGTAGCCTCTTCTCCCACCTTCTGGCTGGATGAGATGCCTCTGCTAAGCCATCTGTCCCACCCATACCTGCCCCCCACCCCCTGTGACACTTACCACATTCACTAGTGCTACAGTTATCATTAGCATTTGCAGCTACTACTTAACTACCTTACACCAAGTGTGTGATGTTTACTTCAACCACTTTCTGTCATCCTCATAGCACGGTCAGGTAGCTGTTACTCTATCGCTGTTGAGAGTTGAGACAATTGAAGTGCAGAGCGTGGGGGGAGCACCTCGCTCCCAGGGACACAACCTGAGCTGCTGAGCACCCTGCGCTCCCCACAGCTGCCCTCGGTGCTATGGCAGCGGCAGTAGCTTTTTTCTTTTTTAAATATGTTTTTATTGATTTGAGAGAGAGAGGGAGGGAGAAGATAGAAACAGCGATGAGAGAGGAACATTATCAGCTGCCTCCTGCATGCCCCCCACTGGGATCGAGCCTGCACCCGGGTATGTGCCCTGACCGGGAATCGAACCATGACCTCTTGGTGCCTGGGTCAGGTTGACGCTCAACCACTGAGCCACACCAGCCAGGTGCAGCAGCAGCTTTTTCATTGCCTTTCTCCCATGGGATGCCTGCCCCTGTGGGCTGGACTGGGGCTGCTTCCCCTTGGCTGCCCCAGCTCCGAGGATAGAGCCTGTCATGTGCTCCACGTGTCTTTTGAGATGCTGAAGATGAGGCACTGCACTAGCACCTTAATCTCACGTGACCCTCACAACAGCCCTGAGATAAGAAATGAGGAAACTGAGCCACAGACAGGTCGAATGGTGACCATGGTCACACCGTTTCACTGGCAGCCTAAACCCACTGTGGCTCTGTGTAATCAGGGCCCCCCTGAGCCCAGGAGCCCGCGTGTTCCCATGGAAACGCATGGCTGGGTGAAGGGGATGCTGACAGGCCGTGATTACACCTTGGGGACAAAGTGGCGCTGGTGCCCGTGTGGCCCACTGACCCCGAGCAGAGCAGTTCTGTGACTTGGCAGTAGCTCTGTTTGCTAATGTGATGAGTAACAGGAAAAATGACATCATGTTCCTATCATGTGAAATGAAGTGAAAAATGAATTCAGAGTAGGAGGTTGAAAGGGAGGGAACACAGACAGTTTCTCTGTGCCTGCCCCCCAACTTCCCAGGATCAGGGGAGGACTGGGGCGCATGCTTCCCCTCCTTGATTCGAATGTCCTCTTCTCTTAGCTTTCCTCTCCCTCTTCCATGGCCGCTCAGATGTAATCACTTTCTGCAGGGGAAGGAAGATGCCAGCTCAGCACGGGGCCTGGGGCCCTCTCTCTGGGGAGCTGTCTGCCATGGCCACACCCAGGGTGGCCTCCCCGCCCTGAGGCCTGCTGTAGCCTTTCCCCCAGCCAGCGAGAGGCCTGTGGGAGCTGAGGGTGGGCCTTTCTCATTCACAGGCAGGGCCAGGCTGCAGGCACGTCAGCTCCGTGCTGCCCGGCTCCCACCCCGCGGGCCAGCTGCAGCCACCTCCCTGAGAGCCCTGCCCCTCTGTCCACTTCCCTCCCCGTCCTCCAGACACCTTCTCAGGCGGAAAGAAGCTCCGTTCCCAGCAGTGCAGTTCCCAGTAACCTCAACATCTCTCCAGGCTCTATTCAGGGACCTGCAGGGCCGGTCTTCTCTCTGCACTTGAACTGGCAAAGACTGTCCGGTGGCTCCAGGGAGCTGCTGCCAGCTCTGCTCGGCCGGTGCAGGGAGGCCTCACCTAGAAGTGCCTCCACACGGCCTGCTGCTCCCCCCACCTCTCACCAAGAGGAGGCATTCGCCAAGGCAGCTGTTTAGTCTACGCTTCCTGTTTAGTCTGCACCACGGCTAACAGAGGGCCCAGGAAAGGTGGATAGTACAGAGCGAGACAAATCCCATTTCAGTGTTTCTTCAAAAGCAACATCCGTATTCTGGCCAGAAGAACAGAATGCTTGTTGGTTGGACATATTCTGAGTTTTCATGGATCTTTCTTTTCCTGCTTCTTTATTTACTTTGTAAAATTAGATGTTAGTCTAATCAACTTTTTTGCAAGGTTTTTATGAAGCGTACGACTAATAGACTGTAGTTGGGCAGTGTTTTATCATTTGGGAACATTCTCTAGCTCTGTCGGATCTCAACTTTATACAGCCCTGTGTGAGCGTGGGCACCTGTTACTCCACTTTCGGGTGACGAAGGGGGCCCAGAGAGATCAAGTCCTTTGCCCAAGTTATAAGCTACTGAGTGGCAGAAAGTGCTAGAACGTAGGTCTTCTTAGTCTCCTGTCATGTCCCTTCCAGGAGACCGTATTGTTCTGTCTAGTGCATACCCCACAGCTTTCCCTCCCAGACTGAGGTGGTGTAAGGTTCCCTCAGAGCTGACCACACCCGGCCGGGTCTGCTGGTGATTCTAAGGACAAACCCATCCCTACTCTGTGCACATGGCGCTGGGTCTGCTTGGAGGCTGGGGGTGGGGGTAGGGAGTGGGGGTGGGGTAATGGAGTGAGGAGCTTCCTGTGTATTTCCAGTCCCTCTGAGAAGCTGCAGAAAGCAGTATACTTGTGCGGTCAGCGTGGTAGCGTGTGTGTCTGTTGAGCACTTGGATATGGCTGGTGAGCACTCAGATGTGCCGTCAGTACAGAATACACTGG